TTGTGCAGACAATACATGTTATTAATGTGATACATATCTATATGCTATCCAGCATATATTAGGCAACAGGAACAAAGGTGATAGCAAAATAGAGCAAGACTTTTTCCCAAGTATTTCATTAACACACACACACACACACACACACACACACACACACACACACACACACACATACACACACACACACACACACACACACACAATACTCTGTTTCATTAATTTATTGACAGTATCAGAAAGTGAACTTTAAATACTTTGTGCCTGAGATCACTCTGGTCAGGATTTGGGGATTTTTGAAGTGCTCTTTGAGGCACATACACCTTTCCTCACCCCCCTCTCTCGACCTGGTGCATTGTGCTGCTGTGTGGTAGGGTTAAACTACTGGGGACAGACTCTCAAATGTTCAGACACCACAAGTAAGGCCAGATTTCCCATAGAAAAGGTTGGCACCAGCAGCTTCCATGGTGGCACATTTGAGACAGAAGAGCCCAGCACTGAGCACATATTCTGGTGCCTAAATGACCCAGGATGTGTTGCTGCATCTCAGAGCTGATGGAACATCAGGGGCAGATACAGCATTTGTTCCTGCTGCATGCACCTCTGAGGCTTTGGCTGGGTGTGTCAGTAATAAAGGCCAGATGTTCCTGCAAAGCACGAGAAGGTACAAGGAGCTTTCACACTCCTCTTCACACTCCTTCACACTCCACACACAGGACTGAGTGAGAAAAAGGTCATGGCCAAGATCACCTTCTGGCCAGCAGCCCTAAGCTTGTGTAGGGGACGGTGTATAGCTTGCTGTGCGTCGGAGGTGGAATTCCCATCCCAGCGTACACAAAGCCCCCACAAACATGCTGTCTAAGTTACTCAGAAAACCTCTCCTGCATCCTCTGCTTCCTGATGTCTCCACAGCCCCCTCCTGCTCAGCCTAGAAGCTTTTCCCTCGGAACAGGAGACACACCCGGTCACGAATCTGTTTGGTTTTCACACCGTACACAATGGGGTTCATCATGGGAGGAAAGAGGAGGTTAAAATTGGCCAGCAGGATGTGTACGTACGGGGTGACATGGCGCCCGAACCTGTGTATTGTTGAGGAGAGAACCACTGGTGTGTAGACTATTAAGATGGCACAAAGGTGGGAGCCACAGGTGCCGAAAGCCTTGAGCTGCTCTTCCTTGGATGCCAGGCTTAAGACAGCTCTTAGGATCTTGACATACGATAGGGAGATGAACATCAGATCCAGCCCCACAATGAAGACAGTTACGATGATCCCATAGATGTTATTGAAACTGGTGTCGGCACAGGCCAGCTTCACCACGGCCATGTGCTCACAGTAGCAATGGGAGATGATGTGTGACCTGCAGTAGGGCAGCCTCCTGAGGAGGAAGGGCAGAGGGAGCACTAGGAGAACAGCCCGGGCCAAAGCCACCAGCCCGATCTTTGCTATCACTGAATTGGTCAGGATGGTGACGTACCTCAGGGGGTTGCAGATGGCCACGTACCTGTCAAAGGCCATGGCCAGCAGCAGAGTAGACTCCAGAGTGGAGAACGAGTGAAGGAAAAACATCTGCACCAGGCAGGCATTAAAGCTGATCTCCCTGGAATTAAACCAGAAGATGCTCAGTATTTTCGGCACGGTGGTTGTGGATAAAACCAGGTCGATGACGGCCAGCATGGCGAGGAAATAGAACATGGGCTTGTGTAGGGAGGGCTCTGTCTTGATAACATACAAGAGGGTGCAGTTTCCTAGAAGGGCCACGGTGAACATCGAGCAGAAGGGGATGGAGATCCAGGGGTGCAGAGCTTCCAGCCCTGGGATGCCCGTCAGGAAGAACATGGACGGATCAGAGCCTGTGCCATTGGGAGCTGACAGGTTGCCTTGCAGGAGCATCCTCCAAAAGTTTCCCAACAACATTTGTCCTGTCAATAAAACATATGAGATGGGTGAACAGACACTACACACATGAGATGCTTGAACAGACACT